ACCCTAAACCCTATATAACCTATATTCCTAAGTTAAGCGATGCTGGGCCCTCGAGGCCGCGGATCCATCGTGGCCCAGTCGCCGGACGCCTCGCCATCGGCGGCGAACTCGCTGCCACTTGGGGCACGGTTGGTTTAGGGTTTAGGGTTTTCCGAGAGCTTGAGTTAGGGTTGCTGTTGTTAAGAAAAACTTAGGTTAAGGTACTGTAATGGTGAATCCGCATTATCTACTATATACCCATGATATAGCAACTTAAACCCTAAACCCTACATACCCCATGTACCTATACTAATGGTAATTGAAATTAAGTTCCTTAGCAGCAACCCAGCAGTTCATTCATCAAGTCCGACAGCTTTGTCGGATGGAACTTGATGGAACAAAGGGAGGCTTTGGGATTTTCGAGGCTGAGCTGGTCAAGGGTTTCGGGTTTAGGATTCAGGGTTTGGGGTTTAGGGTTTGGGATTTAGCATTTAGGGTTTAAGATTTGGGGTTTAGGGTTCAGGATTTGGGGTTCAGGATTCAGGGTTTAGGGTTGAGGGTTTAGGGTTGGTCTGCGCGCACATCAAGTTCATGCAGGTTCTGCTTTCCTTTTTTTAAAAAGACTTAAGTTGAAAGGTGGGCGACAAGAGGGAATAGCTCTTGTTCTCGTGTGTTTAAGGTTAGTCCTGCCATGACATGTGTTAGTAGTATCATCGTTAAACTATAGTATGTTTCTCATCCTTGTTACTCTCCTTTCTGATGCATATTGAAGCCCGAAACCTTAAATCCTAAGGCCTAAACCCTGAATCCCCTGAGTCCAAAACCCTAAACCCTGAACCCTAAACCCTAAATCCTGAACCCTAAACCCTAAACCCTAACTCCTGAACCCTAAATCCTGAATCCTAGATCCTGAACCCTAGACCCTAAACCCTAGATCCTGAACCCTAAACCCTGAAACCCTAAAGCCATCGACTGCCGAGGTCTGCATCGCTGGGCTCCGAAGCCGGGCAAGTTGTGGCTGCAGCTGCTTCCCAGGTGCTTTCATCCTTACTCCTTGGGTTTAGGCTTTAGGCTTTAGGGTTTAGGGAATATAGGGTTGCAATATAGGGTATACATTGGGGTATATTAATGGGATTATAGGGTATCTATTGGGGTTATATCATCCTTATTAGGGGTTTAGGGTCCCTTTAAAGGGGTATATCGGGACTACATATGGTTATCTTGGGGTTATATTGGGAGAATAGTCTCTTCGGGACGTATTTAGGGTTTAGGGTTTAAGCTTTCATGTTGTTCTAGTGTAACGCAAAGCTGTATTAGAGTACTGTGTGGTGGATTATGGTATTGTGTGCGTATGAAAGGCGAGCCAAGTTGTGATCCTCTTATGGTGGGCCTCTGAGAACATGGCCCCTAATATTTAGGGTACTGACAAGAGACCATAAGTTCGACAACCCTCTTAAGATCTCAGCAGTTTTCAAAGCAAGGCATCGAAGTATGGCTTCGTGACTGGGGGGTTAGAGAGTTTGGTTTCAAGATTCATTTGATGTATGTGACTTGCCGCAGAAGATACGCGGAAGCCCAAGTACACATCAGTGAACAGGAGGTGGCAAGCTTGGCGATGCTAGGGGCCCTTGTCGCATGGAAAGTTTTCAGGTTTCAGGAAATTCAGAAAAGATGGGGTGGTTGGAGGCACCAAACGAGTTCTGGACTTCTGGCCAGACATTGTGTATTCCGAAGGTCTGTTCACCAGCCCGTACTCAGCTTGTGAGGTGCGTACAGCCTCAACTGTGAGCGCCGCTGCAGCCCAGATGCGAGCGTGTCAGGCTGGATATACCAGTAGCCACTCTCAAGCACGGAAGCAGCTGAGTGTGTTCGTGCAAGGCCGGCAGCGAAGATTGCAGCACAAGGCCGTCGAGTGGCAACTCACAGCCTCCGCCTGCTGGGCAGCCAGATTCGGGTTCGCAGCCAGCTTGGCAGCCGCCGCTGCCACGGTCACCCATGCGGCGGATGGATTGGCCTGAAGCCAACCCAGCAGCCACCACGACGGAACTTCGCTCAACTGCTTCCTTTGGCAGCTTCGAGGGTACACCCACTAGGCGGGAGCAGGCTGTGCCTCCAAGCACGACTCCTCCGCCTACATCGCCACCACGGGCAAAGGTGGCCTGGTGGCACCTCAAGCTTATAGCAGAGTGGGCGATATCTGTTAAGAAATGCAGAAAATGAGGATAAGAAAATGGAAGCTACTATAGTATATTAGGGTTATATTGGGATTATATTGGGATATAGAAAAAGAAACTGTAGATTTTGGAGGCGTGCATGTACCGACGTCGGGCTCACCTAGGTGGCTGCTGTCCGAGTGCTTCGGAGAGCCCCGGAAAGCCCCGAGAAGACGCAGAAAGCTCCGCCACCTTTGCCGCCCGGTCTTGGGATTAGGGTTTAGGGATTAGGGTTTAGGGTTTAGGAGGTATCAGCTACGGATGGAAAAGAAAATGGCAACCCTAGGTGCCTTTAAAGGGGTATATAGGGTTATATAGGGATTATAGGGTAGAATCTAAACTCCTAAAGGGGTTATATGAGCTGCGGACTAAATTTAGGTTGGGGGGGACCTATAGGGGACTACAAGGGTGTGGGGGGGACCTATTTCGGGATATACTGCAAATTTAGTCCAGGGCTCATATGACTGAAAGCTTTGAGATACTATTATAGTATATTGGGTGATATAGGGATAATGGAAAAGAAAATGGAAACTGTTGTACTATAGTAGATTGGGGTTTCTATAGAGGTGGCCCAGAAAATTAGGGACTGGAGGAATGGACCGGAAGCTACTATATGGGGGGGGGGGGTGGAGGGTCAAAACTATGGTCCCTTTCTCGGTAGTCTTAGTACTGGGGGCCGTATCGTTTTAGGGATGCAATCAGGCACCACAGTTTTCACAAGCTGTCACATAGAGTTTAGTCAGGGGTTTAGGATTTGGGGATTTAGGATCCTACGACTCGACAAAAACATGCAAACTCTGAGCAATTGAGGATTCTCAAGGGGCGACGGTCAGGATCCCTCCCTGCATAAGAGGGTCCCTAAACCCTAAACCCTGAACCCTAAACCCTAAACCCTAAACTGAACTTGGCAACAGAGATCCAGATCTGATCGAAACAATGACCAACCAAGACTCCTGATTAATAAGCCCCCTCCCCTTAATAGGGATTCTAAAGGGGATCTAAATATTATAGGATTTGGTGTTTAGGGTTTAGGGGTTCTAATAGGGATCCTAACATTAAGGGCCTTAGGAGGAAGGGTTTATTAATCAGGGGTCTACATCAGACATCCTTTGTTCCATGCTGGGCTTTCGATGAACATTTGGAAATCCCAAGATCGAGACAACTGCTGGACATGAAAACAAGCAAGCTATAGGGATTAGGGTTTATATAGGACTCTCTAGGGATACTGGAAAAGAAATCTAAACTGCTACATATTATGCAAACACAACCCCTTGTTGCAATGCAGTTGCTCATCTTACCACTGCTGAAAACAAGGCCAGCGCTTCCGCCCACAGCTGCTTGTCAGAACCATGGGTCCATCTTGGCTGTGAGCTTCAAATGTCGCTGAAAACCACATTGTCCTGTGGATTAGTTGAGTGGCTTTGTCTGTGAGCGGCGAGCTATAGGACTTCCGCGCATGGCAGAGTCCAGAGAGCATTTGCTTTTGGGGTGAAGCGTCAGATGAACGTCAACCTGAGAGCATTGTTAGCCTATTCCTAAACCCTAAACCCTGATCCTTAAACCCTAAACCCTAATCCCTAATCCTTAAACTCTAAGCCCTAATCCCTAATCCCTAAACCCTAAACCCTAAACCCTAAACCAGAAGCTCCCAGGCGGTGAGGATAACTGGCCACAGAGGGAGCTCCACTCCTCAGGAGCGGCTCTCATCTCAGCTGTTGCGCAACATTTCATGTGAGCTATGGTCTAAACTCCTTCAAGGGGGTTTTATAGGGAATTCTATAGGGGTGTATGAAAGGGGCTATTAGGGGGGATATTAGGAGTTGAGATGGCCGACGGACGTCCGAGAATGAGAATACTATAGTCCCCAGTATGGAGTAAGATTATATCCTCCTGTTACGGGTATAGTATTAGGAATGCAATCTTTCTAGACTCAACCACCAAAAAACGCTACTCTATTGGGGGCGTGTTCTTCGGGGGTCGTGGCTAATGCTGCTACTAGTAGTATTTATTGCCGTTCTCTCGCTGATACTGCTACTCACTACTACCCCTAATACTGTCACTAGCACTACAATAGTATTCTTATCAGTACCACTAATGTGATACTAGGTAGCCCTGCTCCTAATAACAGAGCCACCCACCCTCCGACAGTAGTTAGTCCCATTTTCAATACGGCAAGTCATACAACATGGGGAACATCAACAGCCCGTTCAATTGGAGGAATCCTAAGCCCCCAACTTTAAACCCACAACCCTAACACTAAACCCCATACAAGATGGGGAACGTTCACCAGCCTGTTTGGAGGAGCAACCGTCGTCACACAGGAGCCGAGCTGACTCCTGGGAAGCGTCGAGGACCTCATGGAGTGACTGACTGGTTGTTAGGGTTGAGGGTTCCAGTTTAGGGTTTAAGCGTGGGGTTGTAGGGCTTAGGGTTCAGGATTTAGGGTTGTCAGTAGCCCCAAACCCAAATTACTGTTACTGTTAGTGCTAACCTTGCTGCTACTGGGGTGTGGGATACTGGAGAACTAAATAAGTATAAACGCGACAGAAGCTAGGGGTAACATTGTGTTTAGGATTTTATTTTTTGCGAGGTAGATCGAAAGTACATACTGTTTAGGAAAGGCAGAAATTGAAACAGTATCTGGGCACGGAGTTGTAACCCCAATATATACCCTATAATCCCCCATATAACCCATCATTGTAGTAGTTTCCATTTTCTTTTCCATTATACCAATATAACCCCAATATCACCCTAATATGTACCCTATAATCCCTATATAACCCCTACATAACCCCTGTAGTTTCCATTTTCTTTTCCATTGTCCCTATATAACCCTAACCCTAAACCCTAAACCCTAAACCCAAAATACGAACCGGCAACCTGCCGTACACGCCAACAAGAAGAAAAGAGGTGAAGCCTCTGGCAGTGGAGATGGAGCTGCTGGAGAACAGGATGGCCAGTTCGAGGATGTGGCAGGGCAAGGCTGTGACAACGATCGTGCTGGAGCTCATGCTGGAGGTTGTGCAACAAACCAAAAAGTGCAGGATGAAATCGACCGGGAAGGAAATGGCCCAATGGACATGGAGGTGGGCATGGGACCAAGTTCAGGTACGGGTACTCCTACGCAAGGCAACAATGTGGGTCCGGATGAGTATGTCGGTGATGTTGGTGATGTTACAACAAGATCCTCGCCAATGCCTACAACTGAAGCAGTGCTGGGAAGTAGCAACGTGGAAACCGTGCTGGATGTTGAGGATGAGTTGTGAAGATGTTGAGTGGGAAAGCTTAAAAAGCGCAACAGAGAAGAACGGTGACGAATGAGGGGGCAAGGTAGTCCTACCGGTGCCTAAGACGCATCCCCTGGCCTGTGGCCTGCACAGAAAAGGTGTGAAGGGGTTGTTAAAAAAAAACCTAAACCTTAAACCCTAAACCCTGAACCCTAAACCCTAAACCCTGAACCCTAAACCCTAAACCCTAAACCATTACTCGTTATAAAAGCAGCGAGGTAATGGCCCTGAAGCAGAATCAAGAGCTGTGAGAGTGTTCAGTGAGAGTCATTGCGAAACATATGCAGCTGCGGAAGCACCTAGATGATATGGAGGGTGTAAACCATGGGTATCTTATGTATACTACTTCAGTTACTGATCTCATGCTCCCATTGCTGGTCAACATTTTTTGGGTACCCTAAATCTTGACCCACCGCCAAGGAGTAGGGACTTTAAGGGAATTATTGTCCTCTTATATTCTTAGTATACCAGTACTTATTGCAGGGTGAAGTCTCCAGCTCTGGTCAATATTTTTGGAGGCAAAACTTTGAGAAAGAAGGAGGGTGTCTGAGCTTGCCAGAGGCTGCTGGACCTAACTCCGGATGCACGCAAGGTGCATCTATGCCGAGTAGCGTGCAACAGAGCCTTGTCCACGGCGGGGGTTTCAACAACTGACGTACCTGTTAAGATCTTATGAACGTACATACGTACGCGCGCATGCACGTATGCACGTATGCACGTATGTATGTATGTATGTATGTATGTATGGATGTATGTATGTATGTATGTATGCATGTGGGTGGACAAGGGTTGAAGTAGAGATTCCTGTTCCAGATTGCTGAGTTTGTTTCTAAAGGTTGACAGGCCCAGCCCTGTCACGTTGTTACAGATTACAGCTTTCAAAGAGGAACTAAATTCCTGCTGCCGCAGTCCTATTTACAGCTGAACCTATTTGAGACCGATTTGTCATGCTCACATCACGTGAGTAGTATTTTATTTGGGGACACTATGGTACCCAAGATAGAGTAAGATTCTATCCTCCTGTTGAGGTATAGTATTTTATATAAGGAATATTATCTTACTAGGTTGAACCAGCAAAAAAACGCTACTCATGTGATCCTTCTTCTTCCTGCTGGAATGAAATTCTGCAGGTGGAATTTGGAATTCCCCTAGGCGTGTCAACTACTATGTGAGCTATAATCTAAACTCCTTCAAAGGGGATTATATAGAGGACTACTATAGGGGTTATTAAGGGAGATACTAGGAGTTTAGAAAATGGCTCATAAGACCCCGTCTGTCCATTTTCTTTTGCACCTGATTCTCCGTGAACCCCTATATAATCATTCCTAACCCTAGACATCCAGAGACTTCCCTAAACCCTAAACCCAAAGCTTTAAATCCAAAACCCTAAACCTTAAGTAGGAGTTTCCATTTTATTTCCATTATCCCAATATAACGCCAATAATAACCCTAATAAATACCCCAATATATGCCTATACCCTCTAATCCCTATAGTTTTCCATTTTCTTTTCCATTATAACCCCAATATAACCCTTAACCCTATACCCCTAACCCCTAAACCCTAACTCCTAAACCCTAAACTTCTCCGAAGGACGCCGGTTTCACAAACTCCGCGCAGCGAGGCAGACAAAGGGCCGCCACCTGGCGGCCAAAGGTCACCTGGCTTATCAGTTTTTTTCTGGGGTGTAGGGTTTAAGGGTTTAAGGCTTAGGGTTTAGGGCTTAGGGTTTAGGGTTTAGGGTTTAGGGGTTTGGGGGTTTAGGGGTTTAGGGGTTTAGGGTTTTAGAGTCCCCCTTAAGTAGATAGAATATGGCTTCGGGGTATATTATGATAACACCCCCATATACCCCATCTTCTATCTACTTAAGGGGGACTCTAAACCCTAACGTTTCAGGGTTTATGGCTCAGGGTTTGGGATTAGGCCTTTCAGGTTTTAGAGTTCAGGGCAGGGGCTTTAATGCATGTTCGGGGATTAGGGACTAGAAGGATCTTAGACGTTATGCAATAGTTATATGGGGACTTTGAAGGTCTAGGGATAGTACATGTGGAAAGGTGCGTGGAAAATGGGATTATGAAGTGTGCTTGGTAGGGCTTCTGAAAGATGATCATGTTGAGTGTCTGCTAAGGTCTGGAGAGGAAGCCTTCCGCAACTTGAGAGCCCCAAAGTATTGTAATTACCACTTTTTTGGGGCTCTATAGGGTGGTGCAAGATTTCCTCCATCCGCAGTAGGACCCCCTGACAGGGTTTGAAAGGCCTTCCGCCGCGGAGGGGATTAGGTTGAGCACTGCGATTGCATGCTGGTTTCCAAAATTAGGGGCCCCTCTATGGGGCCATGAGTAATATGGATTATCGTATGCTGGCGTCCCTAAACCCTCGGAGGCCTCTGTTTATGGAAGCCCCCATTTGATAGTTTGCCGGCCCTGTCATGTTGCAGTCCACAGAACTGATGCGCCGTGTCACGGACCTAAACCCGAAAATCTATGCCCTAGACCCTAAACTCTACAGCTTAAATCCTAAACACTAAGCCCTGAACCCTCAATGGTAAACGCTAAGCCCTAAACCCTAAGGCCTAAACCCTAAACCCTAAGCCATACAACGGTCAACACCAAACCCTGAAGCCTAAACCCTAAACCCTAGGCTGATAGTGGTGTACTAGCATGGTGGGTGTGCACCATGAAGCCCAGAGTCCAAGGTTTCAAAATGCACCGAAGCTATAAAACAGGGACGCCCCCAAAAAGGTAACTCTAATTTCTGGAAACCATGCTCCCCATGAACCACCTTTCCAGTTTCGGTTAGTTTTCCGTGTTCTTGTACATTTTCTTTTCCAGTTTTGATTCTCCATAATTGGGGCATATCCCTAAACCCTGAACCCTTAATAGTACATGCTCCAGCAATTGCTTGGAGCATTTGTCGTGCCTTGCAGCCCGAAACCCTGAACCCCAAACCCTAAACCCCAAACCCTAAGCTGCAAAACCCTAAACCCTAAACCCCAACCAAACCCTAAACCCTAAACCCTAAACCCAAACCAAACCCTAAACCCTAAACCCTAAATCTGCAAAACACTGCAAAGGCACATCGTGCGGACGGTCGCCGTAGCCAAGGCCTCGCCTTCACGAAGCCATGGCCTCAAGATCCAGTGTCAGAAGTGGTTTAAAATGAGGATAAGAAAATGGAAGCTACTATAGTATATATGGGGTTATATTGGGATTATATGGTAGTTTCCCTAAATAAGGGAACCCCAATATAGACCCCAACATATTATAGTCCTTATTATTGGGACCCCCAAAAAGGTACCCCTAATTTTGGGAAACCCCCAAATTTTCAGAGCATCAACTCCTTAGGGTTTGACCCTCGACCCGAAATGGTGCAGGACAGGCTACTCGGCCGAGATCCCTGGCATAGTCTCCGGTTGCGCCTCTACCGGCATCCTATGAGAAGAGGTGCGAGGCGAATTCTGACCCGGGTCATGGAAAAGGAGATTGGATTCAGGTTGAGGGCTTAGAGCTTAGGGCTTAGGGTTTAGGTTTGGGGGTTTAGGATTTAAGTTTGGGGGTTTAGGGTTTAGGGCTCGGGTTCGTACTTTCATAGTGATTGATGCGAGTTGCTCAGCATGGAGGGACTCTACACTCAACAGGGTACATGGGGACTTTATGGGAAAAAACGTCAGTGCATGTGCAGAAAAAGTGCCTACAGAAAGGCTATATAGCTTATGTTCCTAATATACCACCATTAGCGGGTGGGGGCCTAACCCAGTATATAGCTGCGACAACCATATTTCAACCCAACCTACAGTACAACTACTCGCAAACCTCCAGGTGCATAGGCAAACATCCAAACCCAGCACACCTTTTTACTCAGTCAGTCGTAATACCCCTCTGCCTGATACCTAATGATAATTAACAATAATCATATTGTTGCTACTATTCCGTTGCCAAGAAGAGGTGACAACCGCCGAACAAGGCCTGGGATCTTACAAAAAAGGCCGAAAAATGCAGGTGGTCTAGGGTTTAGGGCTAAGGGGAGTGAATATCGGGTTTAGGGTTTAGGCTTAAGGGCTCTGGGG